AATCCTCCACCCAGTTATCATCATGCAGGTCCTCCCTCCAACATCACACCATTCGCATCCGCTCTATACCTCTTTTAACGCAAACAACTCACCGATCACTCATCCACACTCTTCCCTTCCTCCTGACCCTCCTCCTCCTCCTCCGCATACTACTACTTCTTCTTATTCTTCGCGTCCTACTGCGCCTCCTCCTCCGCCTCCTCTTGCTCGTCGTCGTGTTTGCCGACAGAGAGGATGTGCATGTGTGAGAGTGTGATGAAGGTGTGCCGACTTGTGCAGGTTCTGTGGGGCATGAAGAGCTGACACAGTCTTCTGTAGTTAGTCCTAAGCATTAACAAGAGTGAGGAGCAACCTCTTTCCACCTCTGAATGCAGTCTCAACAAACCCTCCGCAGCATTAACTTTTCAGCTTGCAATGCAATTGCGTGAATACACGCGGGACAACGACTCTAACCTCACGCAGGCACTGAAGCGATTAGTGCAGGTGCGCTCTCCGTTGTTGAAGCGAGACCACGTTTTGTACACTCTCTCGCTCTCGCTCTCCCTCGTGACACTTGGCCACGCAGAGAGCAATGTTGAGCATGTCAAGCGTAAATAAACTCCACCTCATTGACTTGAGGTAGAAAACGGAGTTGAGCACAATTAGTTGCTGAATGAATCACTTACACGGAGGCAATTAGCAAGTGATTCAGCTCTGCTGACAACATACACGCAGTTGAGCAGTCGACTTGCTGCAGTGGTGAGGTTTCGGTGGCGAAGTAGTTGCCAAATGCAAGGGATAGGTGTGAGCACGAGGAGAATTCGCAACTCCTCTGCACACACGGTATTTGTGGTGGATGTGAGGGAGAGAAGTTGCCTTCTCGTGTGTTCTCGCTAAAGCATTTCCTTCGTGTGTATCAGTGATGGGTGAAGAGGCGAAGGAAGGTGGTCAGTGGTTGTGGTGTTTTGTGTTTTTGTTAGACACAAGACATATGAGGTGACGAGGTGAGGTGGTTTGGAAGTTCGTGGAAAGGTTTGGCATTGTAGCAAGAGTGGAATGTGGTTGAGGCAATTTAACATTAGGAGGGAGTTTTGTTTCTCTTGAGTTATTTGTTGTTGGTTTCTTTGTGGGTTGTGTTTGAATGGATGTGTTCCAAAGTAAAGAAGATGTGTTTGTTGAATCAAAAACTCTAGCTATTGCAGACTCTGTAGTAGTGAATGATTTGTGTTGATTTGGGAGATTGGGATTGTAATTTGGTCAATGGACGATGGATTGCGAGAGGAGCACGAGCATCAGTCGTGTGGTGGCATTGCGGAGGATCTTCGGTGTTGTCGTTCAGGGTTGGTGATGCTGAGACCTTCGGCATCGGTGAGTGTTGCAGTGGATGGTCAATGCGCCTCAAGTTTGGCATTGGCGAATGTAGGGAGGGAGTGCGCTTGCACTTCATTCATCTGGTGGCGGTCTTGATGTCGTGCAGTGCATAACCGAAAGTGGGATGTGTTGTTGGTGGTGCAGATGGTGGTGACAGGATGGAGGAAGCGTCGTCATCTGCCTCTCTCCTTCCCCTGTATGCGGTGCTATAAAATGATGCCCGTTGCAGCAGCAGCATCAACAGCAATTGTTTGAAGACGCCTTTGGTTGGTGTGCCATGGAAGAGTGGATGTTGTAGAGATTGAGGTTGTTGTTGTCGTGACAATGTGTTGGTGGGCGTTGCTCGTTGAAGTAGATGGAGGTGATGCTTATGTGAGGGATAAGTGGTGAGTGGGCGAGTGATTGAGTGAGTGGGTGAAGGTAGTGGGGAGGGAATGTAATGTGCTACTGAAGTGCAGTCGGATTGGCTG